CCCAGGATACTTTTGGAAAAGATCTCTCATAATTCCTTACTAAGATTTAATGATTGGATCTCTACAAGTAAGATTTTCCACAGACAAATCACCTGCATTTTCATTAACCCATTTTCATCCGGGTGACATGAAACATGTTTCATTGGAAGAATGTAAAAACGCACGTCATCTTGTGAAAGTATCTACAATTTGAAAGGCATTGAAGGAAAAGGTGAATTATGGTTTAAAATGTGGAATAAGCTGTAAAAAACACCAGACATCACCGAGATTTTGAAAAAGAATGAAATGTTTTTTTCGACAATAAGAAAGGCTCTTCTGGTATTGCTTTCGTAACTTTGTACCACTAGCACTATCGAGCGTTCGTTTAGCTCTCTTCGTAGAATCAAAACATGGCTAAGGAGCACTATTATTGAAAATAGTCTGAATGGATTAGGTATGTTTAGCATTTATCGTCAGTGGGTTTTCCAAACGAAGAGCAATTGGTAGTAGATGTAATTAGAAGATTTGCAAGCAATCATCGCAAAATATTGTTAAAAAATGTTGGTATTATATATTATTTTAATACTAACCTTCCCTTAAAATATTGAATTCAAAAAGCGGCCCCACCTTTTGTTCTGAGCTGGATCCGCCCTTGACCGTGCATGTGAAAACTTTAGTGTTAAATATACATGACGCTCTTGTACATGAGAATTTCAATAGTAGTGTTTGGAGTATAGTTTCTGTGTTCAAATACGGAGTTAGAGAAGCAACCATTTATAGAAAGAAAGTTATACAGTAGTACCTAAAACGTCAACTGGGAGAAAACCCATTCAAATGGACGGTACTATGGAACAACTGATCCGAAGAAAAAGTGCATTCGTTTTATTTACAAAAAGAGATACCTACTTTGGAGAAACTTTTAGTAGACATTAATGGAGACGAAACTTTGCCAAACCTTAAAAGGTATGTAACTTTATATTTATATTAATCATAATAAGTTTATATTACGCTAGTACTCGAAATACAAAGAAAAAAATGTATATGGAATCAGCCCTTATTTCTAAAATAGAAATATGAGTGTTTTACGAGTGTTTTACGAGTAAACAAACAAAAACTATTGATATTTATCGGATTTGTGGCGACTGGTCATACGTACGAAATCCGAAAATACGATGATACAAATTTTTTTTTATTTACTGAATATTTAATATTATTTTAAAAAATAGGTAACAGGATGAATCATCAAATAAAAGTTAAAATTTATTCAACTTCTCTAACGTCGGACAAATAGCTAATAGCATAGTTTTAGACAATGCTGATAGGAACCTTTTCGGATTATCGCATCGCATTAGTTAAATGGGTTTAAAAACCTGATGTTTTCAACAAGTAACTTTCTAGTAAAGATACCAAATATATATTATAGTAGAATCGTAATCGACACGGAGTAATAAATCAAAATTTTATGGGTGTTTCACAGCACAGGCGGCTCAAACAAAATCTGTAATTTTAAACAGCCGGCAGTTATAAGGTGTGTTAATTTTAAGAATTTTACCTGTGTCGCCCGGTTTTTAATCCCTTTTTAGACTCTGATGAGTGTACGGTTGGGTATGTTATGTTATGTTGATAATGGGGTGTTAATACACTGCGACCTAAAAGATCTATTGTGCTCCCTTCTGTCGCCATTGCACTAAGGAAATGTCTCAATGCCTATAGCGACCCTTCCAATCCTATTTTCTCAAGGAAGTGTAGGATTTGAAGTAGCTTCAAGTTAGGTAAGTCTCCCTCTTCTATTTGATATCCTCCTAGATATAGTGCCCTTCGATTCTGGAGTGCTACACATTTAGTTAGGATGTGAATGGAGGTTTCGTCCTCCTCCTCACAGAATCTGCACTCACTATCCTCTACTACTCTTAGTTTACTTAGGTGTCCTTTTAGTCGGCAGTGCCCGGTAAGTATCCCTGTTACAATACGTAGCCTGTTCTTGCTCAGGCAGATGCAGGCTTCCGATCTTTTTTGGTTATATTCACCCAGAAGTATCTTGGCCTGTCTCAGCCCCAAGAGATTGTTCTTATTATCGGTTCTTCTACTACCCAATTCTTTTTTAATCTCTTCTAATATTATGTTACTGCTGATACCGCAGAACGGCTCAGGTCCTACAAAGGGTGTTTGAGCCCCTTTCCTTGCAAGACTATCTGCAATCTCGTTACCCTGTACCCCGTTATGTCCCGGGACCCAAGTGAGAGTAACTCTATTTTTCTCGCCTAGCTCATTCAATTGTTCTAGGCATCTCCATACCATTTTTGAGCTGATTACGTAAGAACTCAGCGCTTTGATGGCTGCTTGACTATCGGACATGATGATAATCTCTTGTCTATGATAGTTTCTCTCGATGTTAAACTGGATACACTTCTCGATGGCGTGAATTTCCGCCTGGAAGATGCTTGGGTATTTTCCCAAGCTTTCGGAGTGCTTGGTTCTCGGCCCATACACTCCTATTCCAGTTCCTTCTATGGTTTTGGAACCGTCCGTGTACCACTGAATAGCACGTCTTTCGGTTGCAAGCGCGATGGATTCTTGGCTCCATTCTTTCTTGCAGCCCAGCTCTGTGGTTTTGAAGTTTTTCACAAAACTGTACTTCTTTTGCATTTCATCCTGGAGCATGTCCCAGGTATCTTTAGTCCTGAAGCAAGTAGACTTTCGTCTGATTACTCCGCTCCTGATCATTCTATGTTGGGTAATTTATAGGTCTTGAAAAATATTTGTCATATAACATGTTAATTTACTTAAACATATAACTCTATCATTTACATAACAAATGCAAATAACTTAAAAAACATTTTGTAAAGTATCTACATATCAAAATAATACTCAATAATACGTATTTAAAAAAATATATTTTTAAATGATGATTTTATGTGCCCCAACGAAATTTTCTCTTAAAATACGGAGGGAAACGACATACAATACGGTTGGATAACAGTTTTTTTTTTAACCAGACTTCTTAGAAGTAAGACAAAGGGGTTGTTAAAAATGTAGACGTTAAACAAGAAGAACCAGAAAAGGATCAGCATATACCAGTGCCAAGAGTGGGCTGGTAACCTAACCTACGAAACCACAAACTAACTACTGAATTAGTTAGACACCACCTTTCCGCAGAAAGAACCGTACAGGAGAAGCGGAAGCGACTAGCTCCTTTTCTTGGTAAAGCCCCCTTCGAATTCCGAGTCACTTTCATCCCCAATTTGCGAGAATCCTAGCCCGAAAATATTGGACAAAAACGTTACAACTGAACTCGTTAAAACTGATGATTGGAATATTTCCTTTGGAACCCACGACGATCCAGTAGCTGTTTTGGAGAGATTGGAGGAAATCTGCATAGCCAGAGAAGTAGAAAAGGAGCGACTCCAGTTTGGCATGCCAGACGACCTTCTTACTAAGAAACCAGCTTTGTAGTTCCAGAATGACCGACCCTCTTGCACCACTTGGAATGATTTTGAAACTGATTTCCGCATTTTCTTTCGCTCAGTTAATGACTCGACCAACGTAGAAGTCAAGAGAAGGCCAAAAAGGACTGAAAACTTGGATACTCATAATTGGACAATCACGTTTGGTAATCGAGATGACTAGAAGACTAGAAGAAATTTTCATTTTAAAAGGTATTAATAAAGGCCGTTTATTACCCTTCATACGCGAACTCTTTACATGAGAACCCGCTCTATTGTTCCGTAATAACCGGTCCTTCTGAAACACTTGGAATTATTTCCAAAATTACTTTCTAATTTACTTTTTCCCTGTGAACTTCAAGTCAATCTAGAAGCCGAAGTAAGCCGATGACTTCAACGAAGAAAAGAAACCTACCTGCAAACCTTAATGAGAAGACATGGATACTTATCTGCCAAAAAACAATCGAAATTTAATACTAGAGTTCCGACAACAAATCCGAAAGTCGGGTTACTCCAACATGTCTACGTTTTGGCAAGTAGCCAGGGAGTTTGAGTTGTAGAGGAAGAAACTCCAAAATATTTCAACAACGAGCTCCGCTCAGATATGCCGGCCTGCGTTATCCTCAGAACGATCCACGACGTTATCCCCAAACCGAACTACCACGAAGAATGGAAAATAACCCAGGATGAAGACATGGGTAGATCGCAAGTAATATATTTCCCACGACGTCATCAGAGCACAGAAGACACCATCCCGGCAGCCTTCAGGTCTCCGCTTACCTTAACAGTCAGCAATTCTACCCTTGCCCACACCGTCATTACCTCCACCTGCACCTCCATAGGACGCCGATTTGTGAGGTTCGGACAGGATGTCTGTTGGCGCTGTAGCGGCACCGGTCATCGTCGTGACACTTTTTTCCGGGCCCCTCTTTTATTTTAAAAAATACTTGTTTCCACAGAAATATGTAAAAAAAGTCCTTTTAATATAATATAAATCGAAAATTCTTAAAATATGTAATTACTTTTTTGATCTAAAAGCTTTATAAATATGCACTTTGCAAATACTTAGTCAAAAGCTCAAACTTAATGTCTTTTTAATTGTTACATTAATTTTTTTTGGTACCCTTAATTTTATTTACTTCATTTTTACGTTTTATTACATTTTAACCAGGAATAAACCAAATATTGAACGAATCATAATTAATTAATTAATTAATTTTATATCAAATAATTAATTAATTAATACACAAGGAATTATATTTGGGTGTCAAAAGCTCACCATTGCTCTTATTTACCCTAACTACCTTATTGTAAATAAATCACATTATTTGCGCGTGAACTATAACAGTGATATCAGATAATTTGCCAAGCTACTTCGCTCAGTGTAGAAAATAAGCAGGTTTTCTCAGCGAATTTGAACAGCGATTATGTTGATAATGATTATATTACCTTATTAATAATTTAGAGAGAGATCTATATAATCAATGGAACTTGAAAAATATTTGGTTTGATGTCCAATAAATTGAAGAGATAGAGAAAAAGGTTAGCTCACTGTGGCTTACTTACTCTTTCTATCTACTGTAACTGTAGATGTGTCTGAAATTCACTGACAAGTGACAGTAATGTGAACTTTAACTGTCTCCGTCAAAACACGCATCTATTTTCGCAAAATTTTTGTAATGTTGAGAAATATTTTTAAAATATCAGGATTACCATCCAAGAGAGTAAGTCCAACTCTATATTTCATGAGTTAATTGCTCAATTAAATATAATTTATTTTTCATATATATATTTTTTAATTTAGGCTTTTTATTAAGTTAGTTTGATAAAAATGTTAAGAATAGAGAAATATTTTCTATTTTAAGGATACTACATTTCAAAAATGTTACCTTCAATCATTCATATCTGCACCAACAACGATAATTTGGACTAATAGAAGATCTTCTTATACTAGATCTTATAGTGCTCCATGGGATACACAACATAGAAAAACATCGTCTTATATTGGACAACAAAAAGGCAAGTACGATTTAAATAATACTCATATTACTTACTAATATTGTTATAATTTTAGGTGAACCCTTTATTAGACATCAAGCTAGTCGCGAATCAAAAAGTAGCATAAGAACTGTAAAAGATGAAAATCCACTCGGTTTTCCAACAAAATTAAACATTAATTCATCTCATCAAATCAAAATAAAATCGTGCGCCAATTTGCTTAAATATTTTAAAAGCAATGATATTGAACCGGATAAGAAACTAGCTAAAATACTGTCATTAGACAGCATTTTTAAAAAAATACCAAAAAAAAGTCCCAACTTAGTCGAAGAAATCCTTCAAAAAACTAATTTTGGTAAAACACTAACATTAGGAAAAATTAAGTCCAATATCTGTGACTCTGATAAAGTTATTGGTTATAAAAGAATGCAATCAGATCCAGAAGTATGCAAATTTGCTAAAATTTCCAACACTAGATCTTGTCCGTCTGTATGTATAACTCTGTCAAATGCATTTCCAGAAATATTAAGTAAAGATGCAACCAATGAGACATTAAATAATAAAGAATTAGAAAAACCACATTCTTTTATCGAGCTAAAGCGACAAAAACTAGCAGGAGAAGAATCAATGAATGAGCTAAACCATCTTCAAATATCATTTGATTCTACATTTCCAAACCATTTGAAACCAAGAGCATTTAATCTGAAAGATCAAGATTTTAGTTTGAAAATAAATTTCACTTTACAACCAAACATAGCTTCATCTGGAATGAAAGAAATTATTAAATTAAGAGATGCTTACACTTCATACGATTCAATGTTGATTAATTCTGAGATTGATCAAATCATAACCAAGACCATAAAATCTGAATCAAAACCGAATGTATTTAAGTTGCATCAAGGCAACCACAGAATGAAGATTACAACAGCTTCAAACTATCGACAAATAATGCCTTCCAAGATAGATGGTTATAAGAAAGAAAGTATCAATAAAAGAGCTGAATTAGATAAATATACCTTGCATCCTTTCGCAAACAAAGCTGCAGCCAGGATGATTCTGATTGACGCCAATTACAGATCTAATCCGCATAAAAGTTTTAGTATAAGTTCAATTTTGAGATGTCCCCAATACCTGAAAAAACAAGAATGGAGTAGCGAAAAGAAAGCCAATAAAGTTAGATTTTCTAAATATATTGATGTTTTTTGTACAGAAAAATATCAACCTCTTTATGTACCAAAAGAGATTACCTTCAATTATACAAGAGAAGAAATAAATAAAATGAAGAAAATTTTGGATAAAGATGTAAAAAGAATTGATTCTTCCGAGATGTCCTTCCATGAACATTACATATATAAACTGGAGAAAGATTTAGCACTTCGTATGAAGGAATTACAAGCAAAAACTAAACGAATATATACAAGTGGTACAAAATCAATTAAAAGATTTAGCGGGATCGCTATTACTAGTAAAGATATTCTAGTTGATAAAAAATATTCAAACCAGATGCCTATTCGCAAATATCACGTGCTAACTAAGTTACAGGATAAAAAATTAACAGAAAAAAATAACTACACCGATTTGAGACAACTAAAGGGAGAAATCAATTCTTTAGGTAATCTAAGAAAGACACAATGGAAAATAAATAATTTCTACAAATGGCACAAGTTGAATAACATGCATAACGTACAACTCACCCTAAAAAGATCATATTCCCATATGAATGATTTTTTATCAGTAAACAATAAAATAACTACAAGAGGAAGTATCAGACTAAAATCCACCAGAAGTAGTACCAACATTGCGGCTGAATCCGGTAAAATAAAAGTACCTCTGAATAAAGAAATATTTCTGCCTAATGAAAAGGAAATCTCGTCTGAAGAATTTTATCCTGATAATGTAAATGCCAGTAAATACATAAACCAAGATTACGATGAAGAAGATAGAAAATCAGTATACAAAGAAGATGAAGAAGATTCAAAATCAGCGTATAGAGACAATGAAGAGGACCAAGAACAATATTATCCTAAAAATAAACCACTAACCCTTAAAGATATGATGAATATGGGAATAAATGATTTGAGGAGAAAATTATTTCACCTTGAACCTGAAAGATACGACGATGATTCTGACGATGCGAAGTCAAACGATTATAGAGAATATGCTGAAGACGATGAAGACGAAAAATATTCTAGAAAAGGATATAAAAGATACATAAAGAAATTAAAGCGGGAAGGATTGATACCGAAAGATTTTAAAAAACATTTCAAACTCCCGGAAAAAGCTGAATATTTAGATGAAACGGAGGACGAACCTACTAACGAGGAAGACAATTATTCTGGATATTATAGACAAAAATCGGCCGATGGACCTAAGAAAGAAACATATTATTCAAGGTATGAAAAAAAAGCAGATGATACTTGGAATAAAGTAGTCAATTATTTTAAAGCGATGCCAGGAGTTCCGTCCGCAGATGAATTTAAAAAAATATATTACAGAAAAAGAGCGGAAAAGTATGCTAAACTTGCAGGGCTAATAGTGATCGAAAAAGAAGTAGAACCTGAAAATTTAAGCACTAACGAAAGTCCTCCGACTATAGTTGCCCATCCTTTGGTAGCAGAATCAACAGACCAAGAAAATAACAAGGATGAGCTTCATTTGAAACATCTATTACCCAACTTTAACAAGCAACATAGAAGATCGTATTCTACACTATCAGAAAATAATTACCACAAACTGTTACATAACACAAAAAGTGAAAAAATCGGTACTTTAGAACAATTGCGTAAAAAAACTTATTTCAATAACGGTAGGTGCTACAGTACATCAGCCCAGAATCAACTTAATCACGCAGAAATACCAGTTGGTAAATCATTTCATCCAATTTCTAAAGATTTTTTCGAAAACCCTATTAAGTCGTCTATGAAATATTTTGATCCAGAAGTTGTAAGCCAAGAGTCAGTAGATAGTGATGATGAGAAAACTGTTGCAGAAACACCTGGAGAACAAAAGGAATCTAATGCTGAATCAGTTCCTTCTCCTTCTAAAGACAAAAAATGCTGCTCTGAATATACTGCTCTGAATAACATTATTCGGACAATAGAAATTAAAGAAAGGATTTTTAAATCGATTGTGAATGTAGCGGCACAATATGTTCATGGTGTTAACTTTCACAATAGGCGTTTCAGCACTTCAATGATAAATTCTTCTGATGCTAAGAAAGCGAATTTGGCAGAGAGTGGAAGTGCACCAGATTCAAATAACTCTCAAACTGAAAATGCTGACAATATTAATGATAAATCCGCTAATCCCGAAGTAGAATCAGTTTACAGCATAGATAGTGACGGTTCTTCAGAAACAGGAGTACCGGTAAATCAAGAAATATCTTCAACGAATACAAAAGAACCTTCTTCTTCTTCTGACCCAATTGTTAATCTAATTTCAAAAAGGAGTTACTCCAAACATAACGCTAATGAAGACTTGGATGCGATTAACAAGAGTTTAGATGAAAAAGACCATCAACGCTTAACAGAAAATATAGTCAAGTCGATTCTTGAGGCTACTACTGCTCAAAGCCAACAAGACTCTAGTAGAAAAGGGGAAAAGACTGTGGTGATACAACCTAAGATTATTCCGAGAAAAATGACTTTAGCCGAAATTATATTTAGCGAACCTAAAGATGAATACGAGAAGTACTTCAAGGCTACATGTTTGGCTGCTTTTTTGGATATTTTCCGAAAAACGGAGATGCTGTCTGATGCAAATTTCGAGGAAACAGGTAAAAATTTTCATCTCGTAAATATACGTATACATATAAATATAAGGACAAAATTTTAAACGTAAAAGAATACAAACTAATAATTATTTGCTAAATAAATATGTACCGGACAAGTCTTCATTTTCGAGATATATGGTGTTAAAGTTTAAAAAAAAATATGACTTAATTTTCAATATTGTACCACAATATGACTGCAAAATCCAAAAAGTTCCTTTATAAGTTACGTAAATGTAATATTTATATATTATTAAATGTATATTTACTTAATATTTAATAAAAAAAAACAGTTAACCAACTTTTTATCTAACGAACTTGTTGCTTACGGATTCCATGATTCACTTCTGAATGGAAATGGACAAATAATATGTCTTGGTGTCAATCGATTTTTTTTACTCTCACTCCCCTCGAGCCTCCAAGAACACCATAAAAGTTAATTTAAGATAAACTTGTCCAAGTAGAGTATTTGGGAGCAAATTATGAGGATTTTCGGAGCATCCGTATTTAACTTCCTCTCATGGGCGTCGTTTGGGGGGGCAAGGAGGGGCAGTTTGAATCGATAGTTTTGAAGCTAAATACCAAACTGGAGTACGAAAGATCTTTCTGCATATAATAAGCTCTCCACTAATGATATAGCGTCCAAACATTGTGAATTTTATACAGACATACAAAGTGGTTTAAAAAATATTTATGGCTCTTCCACCAACGACAGAGTTAATCGAAAGAACGTTTAGCATGTTTAGCATGTTAAAACATGGCTGGGGTCTATTCTATCAGTGCGAAGTCATGGTAGGGGAAGTGATACTAGCGCAAGCTGCGGATAATTCGAGTACTTAAGGGCGATATTTTGTAATTTTGGCGTATTAAATACACGTATACATTTTACTTATAACTAAAAAAAATTGGTTAAAAACAATAAAATGAGCAACCGGAGTTGCTATGTTGCAAATTATACTAGCAAAAAAACTGTAAATTATATAAACTTTTAGTAGCAAAATCGAAATTAAATCAAATCAATAAATGGACAGCTGTATAATAAGAAAAAAAAAACCTTTATTTTGTAATAATAACAGTAATACTGGAAATAATAGATATCAGAAAAGGTTTTAATTAAACAATAATAATTATTTTATGATATTCTTCAACATCCCTTAAATCTTAAATGTTTAGCAAATGATTAGATTTCTGCCATTGATTATTATATATGGCTTAAATGCAATCTTGTGACTTATTGATAGAAAACATTTCTATGGGTTCTTTAGAACTAAAAATGAAGAAAATATAAATTACAATCGCAAATATACCAATTATTTTTGTTAATACATTTTAATTATACGTTTTTATATAATGGTAATGTTTTTATTTTGACATTATTTAACCTTTTCTTCAATGACAACTTATTAGGCTTAGGCAAGATCTCATAAATTTTTTCGTAAATACCTGCCTATGTTTTATTATTGATTTTTATTGATTATACTACTTTTTTTAGCTGACGTAAAAAAATATATAATAATAATTTATTCACTTGTTTTGCAAATCCATATACTTTTATTAAAATTAACACATATTTTTTATTTACGTACTCTATTAAAAATTGTGTTGTCAGTATACGCAAATATCGTCCGTCAGTTCATAAAATAGTTGGCGCTGCTGTCACGCACGGAGCGAAAAATGAATGAAAATAGGATGACTGAAAAAAATTATGTTTTCTGTTATCGATGTTTTTGGTAGAGAAAAAAGATATTGAAAATTTGCGTTTTCCTAGTGTTTTTTTGTATTCATCGTCGTGTTTAAGTGAATTTTTTTATGTTTTTGATTTTTATAAATTTTTATTTATTATTTATTATTAATTTTATTTATTATATATATCACACCTTCTGTTTTTTTTTAAATGTGTTTAAGTTTCTTGTTTCTTCTTTATTTTAGTTGTTGTCTTTTTTGTTGGGTTATTTGATTTATTAGAGACTTGTTATGACAACTTAAGTATTAGTTCTGTCAAATAGGTCAGTGACAATGTTAGGGTTACTACTAAAGTTCCACTCCCCCTTATCTCCGCTATTCATTGAGATATCGGAATAATTTTGTTCTGTTTGAAAAACTGGAACAATTACTTTATTATGATGGGTTTAATTGTTCTGTGACATCATGGCTTACTTCCGATTTTTCCGGAAATAACATAAAATCGATTTTTTTTATTTTTAAAATAAAAACCCTCTTTTTTAGTGTAAATTTAAATTTCTGGGACATTTTTGTATAATAATCGTGTATTGACATTTTTCTGTCAGCTATCAAAATAATAATAATAATAATAATAATAATAATAATAATAATAATAATAATAATAATAATAATAATAATAATAATAATAATAATAATAATAATAATAATAATAATAATAATAATAATAATAATAATAATAATAATAATAATAATAATAATAATAATAATAATAATAATAATAATAATAATAATAATAATAATAATAATAATAATAATAATAATAATAATAATAATAATAATAATAATAATAATAATAATAATAATAATAATAATAATAATAATAATAATAATAATAATAATAATAATAATAATAATAATAATAATAATAATAATAATAATAATAATAATAATAATAATAATAATAATAATAATAATAATAATAATAATAATAATAATAATAATAATAATAATAATAATAATAATAATAATAATAATAATAATAATAATAATAATAATAATAATAATAATAATAATAATAATAATAATAATAATAATAATAATAATAATAATAATAATAATAATAATAATAATAATAATAATAATAATAATAATAATAATAATAATAATAATAATAATAATAATAACTTTAAAAAATCTTTTTAGGCTTTAAAATTCTCATTGAGACCCATTTATCGTATTTATCGTACAAAAAATTTATTTTTTCCTAAGATAAAACCGAGAAAATCGCGTTTTTAGTTTTTTTGGGCCGTAAGCCCCAATGGTTTTTTAAATGTTTAAAATAATACAGTTACTTTACCTGTGAAAAAACTTTTTAGAGATTGCATTCATATTGTAGTACCCATTACACTCTATTTAATGGTACCAATATCTCGTTTTTTGAAAATAGTGTCCATTTGCACAGTCTAATTTCGGATTGGGGTCCGATTACAATTGGACGGCGTTAAGCAGAATGCTACCAACCCTCAATAGTAACAAACTGAGATAATCAGCTCTAAAGTTTTTGTTCGTTTAAGAAAGCTATGGGATATGGGCTAGCATTTTATAGTTTTATAGGGTATATAACTGAGACTTAGCAGGTTCTTACGGAATCCAGAACGTTTATTTTATTACTCAAATCCGCACTCAACCTAATATTGTGTGTTGGTAGTTGTCTGCATAACGCCGTCCAATTAGATGAACACAGGTACGTCATCAATTGGCTGAGTAATTAGTTGGCTATCGCCGCCTGCTAGGGGTTTAGCAATGTAGGAATACCATTTTTAAACCAAACAACTAACATATTCTTTATTTATTAATAGTTATTAGATGATATAATATATTGGAAATTCGAAATAATAGTTATGACATTCTTTTAATCGTAATCGGACTTTACCTTTGGTTTTAGAATCTCCAAAATATTAGTTTTCAATAAATTAACAATTTAGCTTGAAACACTCAGTCCCCTACAGAAAGCATATTTGTTATTTTTTAATATTGTTTTAGAAAAAATTAAAACGGATGATTTGGTTAAGGAGCTAAACAAATTATTGACAGAAGAGAATCAAAATACTAAAAATGGTTGTTGATGTTCCTTACGAATTGGTATTTTTAAAATTTTAATAATTAAAATGTATAAATATTAATTATCTGTAACATGTCTTCATTCTAATGTACTATCTTAGTCTCTTCCGAGATTTTTCATTACACTTATAATGGATGCTAAAACTGTGACATAGGGGTCTATTGGAACAATTCCTTTATATTTTAACGGCCGTTAAAATATTGGAGGACTTTAAAAATATTTTCGTATTTACTAAATTACTTCTTTCACGGATTCCTTTAAAATACATTAGAGGATTATCTTAAAGAAATCCGTTTAAATAATGATAGAAGTAAATTAGCGAATACGAAAATATTTTTAAAGGCCGCCAATATTTTAAACCCGCCGTTAAAAAATAAAGGAATTGTTACAGAATAGACCCCTGTATCTGTCAAAAACCGTTACCGGTTATATTTGAAAATGTTGGGAATGTGTTTTTTAAAGGATTTATCAAACATTATTTTACCATGCATTACTATTATGTTACTAAACCTAATCTAAAGCTATATTTCTTAGATTAAACGTCATTATTTTGTCAGATAGACCCTTTCTTATTATTTAATTGTTTATAAGGAGCACTTCCAACACAATAATCATTCTAGAAGCATTTCTATTAAATTTTTGACAGATACTAAGCGGTATATCAAAAAATGACTTCATACAATTTTTTGTTTTATTAAACCGAGATTTTGTAATTGTAATATTATTAATAAATTATTTTGTTTTCGAGAACAAAAATTTGTGCTAATCTGTTGTAAATATCCAGAATATCTAGAATAAATCTGTTGTTTCTTTTTAATTTTGTTTCATTTACCTCAAATTTTTATAAACAGGCATAGATCTTTCCTATTACTCATGCGCAAATTCTACTTCCGCTTAAAATCATCAAAATGTATTGTTGTTATGTTTCCTATACTTTAGTTCTAATTACACATCCGTAAATGTCATTTTCTTTTTGAGTTTAAGAGTTTAATAGTAATGGTAGGGGAGCCAGTGACACTTTTAGGTGTGTTATTTGTGAAAGTAAAATTTTATTATAAATATATCAATGATTGTTACCGTGTAGAACATAGAAATAGTTTGCTACGCAGCAATTGAGTCCTCGACGATCACGTTTTAGAAAAGTCTGTGTAGAAATTGCTGTCATAGAAGCGCAAAGTTGAAACATTAAGATATTATTGATATCAAAAGTTAGTAGAGAAAAGTTTCTTGAAATTCTGCTCACTGGAGGTATCTTCCTTCTTGCTGACAGGACATTTCACAGCTAGATCAATTTCAACAAAGTATTTCCATCTTCCACAGGGTAATAATTAACAAAACAATTATAATTTAGCATTTGGAAAATGTGTACTAAAAAAGTTTCACTGGCTCCCTACGTGTTTATTGGGTACTTGTACAAACTTTGAAGAATTAATCTTTGATTAATTCTTAGACAAAAAGTTTATATGATTACGTATCCTAAACCTCTTAACTTTTGAGATACAGAGTGGTAAAGTTTTAAGAAAAAAATCTTCTTTTTTACGAAATTTGGTACACGTCTACTACGCATTAAGATGCATTCTTGTTTGTACAAACAATTTTATTATTTCTACCAGTGGCGTCCGTACGGGTTTCGTATTGAATATTTGTGAGAAAAAAATAGTACGCCACTGCTTAATCTTAAAATAACAACTATTTTTAAAATCCTCATTAATTTTTGAGCAAATTTGATCTCCTGAGTTTTTTCGTCCGACGCATTGTTTTTTTCTGACGCATAGTTTTCGTCCGACGCATGCTAAAAATGCCAGCCGCCTACTGAAACGAAACATTGATTGACAAACCTGGTATCTGATTAATAATGGCACACGATTAAAATATCCTGTTCCTTAGATATTGCTCATTGTGGACTGGTATTTTGCAAACAGTGTCTTTAAGTGACCCCACAGAAAAAATCCAGAGGGTTTAAATCTGGTAATCTGGGAGGCCAGGCTTGCGGTCTCGCTCTTCCTATTCAACGATTAGGGTAATTCTCGTCCAGAAATTGACGTGCAAACAAACTGAAGTGTGCCGGTGCGATATCGTTCATGAACCACATCCTGTTTTCGGTAGCCAAATCAACTTCTTCTAAATGTTCAGAAAGCTCGTTCTCCAAAAATTTTCTGTACTCCAGTTAGTCTTTGTGGAAGAATGCAAGTTTCAATAAGGAGACCTTGTTAATTGGAAATTATGTTCTATGATAGCATAGCATTGGGATTATCCTCAGCCCAGATAAGGTTGTTGTGGAAGTTTATGATGGCGTTTCGGGAAAAAGAAGCTTGGTCTGTAAGAAGTACATGGCCTAAGAAATCCGGGCTAGTTAATGACTTATTTCGCAGGTAAACACAGAAATACCTGTACATGTTAAATATGATAAGGATAAAGTTGAGATTTTTAAAATTTTATGTGTAACATTTAATTCATGAGCACTTTTCCGTGTACTAGTTTGCGAATATTCTTCAATTCTATTTAATACAGCTTCTTCAATTTCAACTGTTCGAACTGTCGCAGGCTTTTCTGGGATATTAACTGTTCTTTGCGTGAATAGTAATTTAAATTTGGACATGTGGAACCACCCGTTGAGGAAATCGCGATAGATACATTGTTTTTGCAGCTTTTGCATTACCGTGAGCGATTCCGTAGACGAAATGAATGTCTGCCATTTCTGCATTGATATATTCGTACATTTTAAACACAATAATAGACAATAAAGTATTACATCCATACATTTTTAAATGACAAAAACCATTATCTATTTTTACTTTCCTATCTGTATACAGATATAAGGAAAGTATAGGAATCATGATTTTTTTCGACCTCGAGTTTTCGACGGATTTTTACGTTTTGAGGTCCCCTGAATCCGTTTTGACTATTTTCGCGATGATGTCTGTGTGTGTGTGTGTGTGTGTGTGTGTGTGTGTGTGTGTGTGTGTGTCTGTGTGTGTGTGTGTGTGTGTCTGTATAACGCATAACTCATGAACCGATACACAGAAAAACACCAAATTTTAAACTTAAGCTTTGTTTCAGCGTCCAATGAGCTGATTAGATTTTGGGCAGTGTCGGAACATCTGGGGGGGTACTTTATAGGTGGTCATTTTTATATTTTATGGAATATATCTGTTATTTACGTTTGGAGAAGAAAATTCTTCAAATATAAGTTACTTCTAATATAATTATCTATAATTTTTGTTTTATGCAAAATTTTCCTAAAATGGTCCGTATTCGAGAAATTTGACAAAATGTAAAAAACATAATTTTTTATAAAAATTGTTCAAATAAAAGTTGTTTATAATATAATTCTCTATAATTTTTGTCCTATACATAATTTCTCTAAAATGGACCGTATTCGAGATATTTGAGAAAATGTGTAAATTTCGAAATTTGAAGAAAACTCAAAAACGGATAAAGGAAAAAACATTAAATTTTAAACTTAAGGTTTATTTCGGCCTGACGTGAAATGATTAGATTTTGGACAAAGTTGGAGCATCTGGGGGGGTACTTTATGGGAGGCCGTTTTTATATTTTATGGAATATATCTGTTATTTATGTTTGGAGAAGAAAATTGTTCAAATAAAAGTTACTTCTAATATTATTATCTATAATTATTGTTTTATGTCAAAATTTCCTGAAATGGTCCGTATTCGAGAAATTTGACAAAATGTGCAAAATTCTGATTTTTATGAAAATTGTTGAACTAAAAGTTGTTTGCGATATCGATTTCTATAATTTTTGTTTATACATGATTTTTCTAAAATGGTCCGTAATGGAAAAGTGCTAAATTTAAATTTTTCTGTATTTTCGTTTTCAATGAATATCTATAGAAAAATGTTTCGAGGTAGATGTATGTGTAAAATGTATATATTTAGTTTATCCTCTAAACATTTATAGAGATGCTGCAATAGGTTGTACAAAATAACCGGAAAATGCCTATAATAACTAGATAGGAAAGTCATGTGTTGGACACATCAGATTTTTAAAATCAACTGTCATAAATGATTCCGCTACCTTGGAAACATTGCTATACATGTATTGCCGCGTTTGAGAATCCACATCGGATGCATTTTTTACATCTCGAGCGTTTTTTTATCCACATCTGACACATCTGTCCTATTACATTTACGTACACTGAGTCACGTGATCAAAGATTTACTACATCTCAGATGCATCCGATGTGGATTTTCAAACGCAGCAAATGTATGTATGACATTTGACCCTGAAATAAAATAAGCGAAAAATATGCTTCGGAAGAAAAATCAAAAGAGATTTAAAAAATAATTGGTATTATTTTAAGATGAAGCAGTGGCGTACTACTTTTTCTGCAAAAATATTCAATACGAAACCCGTACTGGTAAAAATCATGGTATAAAAAATAAAAGGTAGGATATCAACAGTGTCAAAAATAGGACGGCCACGCGCATGGCGTCACGCGTAGAGTTTGTATAGGCGCAAATTTAAAAATACTAACGAAGTGTGAGGAAAATATATGCTAACATAGAAATTTGATGAATATTAAGGATAATATTTTAGAAATTACATGAAATATCTATGGATATTATTATGGGATAGTTAAGGAAAGAACTATGAAGGAACTTAAATGCAAATACATACATAAAAGAAATATTTTTTTAAAGTTTTTTCTTTTTTTTTTTTAATGATTTATTTTGTTTATACAAATTCGACTTCTAAAGAATAGTTTTTATAACCATGATAATAAAATAAGGGGTATCTTCGCAACTCGAAACTGGGGATTCTGGTAACAATTTCACATCTGGATATGCCGGAAATTTTTACCTGATTAGGATTTGCAACTCATTTACCTGCATTATTTTACCCAATTGAATAAAAATAAGTTAATTTTTTTTTATATAATGCAGACATTCATATAATATAATGCAAAACATAAAAAATGTACCAAATACAAATAACTGTTACAATACAAAATTAAAATATGTCGCTGCATTTTTCCTGGACCTAGTGGCTGACAGTTTTTTAAATCATTTATCAAGTACAAGTCGAAATTTTCTTTTTTTTTTTTTGGTAACATTTACAATTTTATTTTTGCTTATATTGCGAAATTTTTAGCCTTCAAAGGGTAGAGTCTCCAGTTTAAAAGTCCCAAGTTGTGGATTAACCATTGTGATTCACATTGGTTCATTATGTGAAGTTCTGATTT